TTCTCGTAATTTGCTTGGCTGTACTTTGATAAACCTTGGTTTTTTCTTCTGTTTTTATCCATCTGACGTCCTAGTCTTTCTTAAAGATAACTCACTTTGCTCTTCTGTTTAATTCGCACAATTTAAAAGAACTATATCAAATCTGATCCACTCATTCACAACTAACAGCTCTATTCAATACACAATACGCGTCTGTTAGATTCACAAAAAAAAAAAAAACAGAAATACAGAAGATTCAAATGACAACAGACACACATCCAAGAACATTGCTGAACGGAAGTGAAGTATATTTTACTAAAAAAAAAACAAAGTACGACTCCTGTAAAAGTGCGTTTCCACCAATCCGAATGTTTTATGGGGTTTTGCGTGCAACCTTATGACTTCATCGACACATTTCTGAAAGCCACAGTCAAAGGTAGTGGGCATTATGGCTGAGGGCGGGCGGTCGCTGGGTGGAAGGGCTGCGAGAGGGTTTTGGCCACACCCCATACCACCCTTCCACCAATGACGTTCTCAGCAACCGCCCGCCCCCACCCATCATGCTCCTTGCCTTCGAGCTTCAGTGCGCGCAAATTCGCAGGAGCCGCACTCTGTTTGGGAAGAAATGTAAAAAGCAAATGAATAGTCCCAAAAGAGAAAATGGTACGACAACGACAAAATACTCTGTGTTGTGTTAAAAAACTACTGTGTTACACTGTGTTAAAACAAGAAATAGACCTCTAAAACCTTCACTTCTTAGAAATATAATACTCAGCTTGATGCAAAAAGTCCATCAATCGATCAGTGGTGCCTACATTGCACGAACAGTGCACGATCAGCGCTGGGAGTTGTACCAATCCCGTACGAAGTAGTCACGTCCACAGATATGAAAAAGGAATCGAGACACTTCAAATGCATCTCGAGCATGAAGCTAGCGGACTGGAAAACACGTCCAAGTGCCAGCAAACTCCTACGGTGCCGATGCAGGGGGCCCTATTCGACCGAGTCTTGACCGTTTCTCTCTGCTGTTTTCTTCATAAAAATACCCTTACTTTTGCAAAAAAACTTACTTTACACACTGTGTCTCTTATAAGGAAGGCAAGGAAACCAGTTCGTCTTGCCGTAGCACACTGTGGCTTTGCATCAGCTATTATAACTAACTTATGGCTGTATAATTTCAGCTCCGGTACGTGAGCTGTTCGAAGCTAGCGGTCTTTATGCAGCAGTGGCCAAGAGCAACTTCTATCCTACAATCTACGATGCAATAGCATACGCTCAAATGGAGAGGTGGGTCGCCTTTCACCGAGTGTCATAAACGCTTCCCAACTGGGATCACAAACTACGAACGGAACGAGAAATTTTGTTTTTT